AAACGGGAATAATAAGATAATCACATTCCAAAACCTATATCAACATATCACACACTAAAGAGAAGTATGATAATGAAATTTTAGGCGAGAAAATTATTATCCAAATGTCGAGACTGACTTATTAATCTGATTTATAACTCTGAGAGTTCAAAGATATCTTTTCCCGGGCACGCAGCCCGAGCTTTATAATACGATTTAAATTATATTTACTTTACTGAAGCGCGCCGCCCTCCCTTCGTGTAGAGAGACACAAGTGTGGAATATTTGCGTAGCGCGATGCAGCGCGAAATGATTTAAATTCTGCGCTCTGACACTACATCTCTTCTCTCGTGACAGTCGCATGAGAATGGGAATCGATGCCACTCCACGCGATAAAACATTCAAATCTGAAAAGAGTTCCCTCTACGACGCCGTACGCAAACATAAACAAAGAAATTCCCACTGAAGAATGGTGCGTAAGTGCACGTGCCAGCAACGTCGAGAGTTTGCTTTGAAGTTACATTACATTTACTTAACGTGAATCAATTACGGTGAAATGAAAATTAAGACATCATGTCGATCGCGGATATCAACGTAATTAGATACTCTCTATAAACTGAGCAACGTATTCATACTACCAATAACTTCGTTACTATTAATTTTGATATTGATTTATAAAATGTGAAAATTGCATTAAACGTGACATAAAACAAATGTGACTGTATTCAACTAATTACGAACTTTACCAATTGTAACCGAAAATATTGATCTCGCGATTACTTTATAACATTTTAAAATCATTTTTATATGTGGTTTGAAAAGATATTTATTTCAGTCTTATATTTTACATTTTATTCGCTTTATTTATGTAAATATTTTATTGAATCGAATATCGCATTAGGAAGAAAACATGAGGGTAATTTAAAATTCTTTAAAAATAACAGTAAGGCGAGAAAAAATATTTCAGATATTTTTAGGAAAAAAAAACCGATTGCATATTTTATTTCGCAATGACTATACGCGAATAAAAATTCTGACGTATATAGACGGATATACGCAATAAGCTCATTCTATCCGGGTTATCTTCCTGACAATGCGTTATCAAAGGGAATCTTGTCAATCGGCCTGCGTCACAGGCATCCTAGTTCGACTATGCAAACCATAGATTCGCTCGAGGATTATCTGAAGATGAAATGCGATGCGTTCGACAACTGTTTCGATTACTCGCGGGAGAATTTCGAATCCATCTCGAATGGTAGAAGGATGCGGCGAGTGTATCAAATGAAAAGTTAGTTTTCTTTGCATCAGATGTTTGTATATTTTACTTAAATTGCCCGACGTTGGAAACCATCGTATAACTACAAAAACTATGTCGAGCGCACTCGATAAAGGAACCCGACGAGTAATTGGAAAAACCGGCGAGCGCGAAACTTTAGACTATCGATTCCGATACACACAGATTGAAGGGCTAGCCGTATAAAGGGACCAGTCCTCTTGTGTACGCAGTCAAAAGTAGACTATTTCGAAACTTTATTTTACCTAAAGCGCCTCGGCACGGAAGCTTTCGGTGCCCTAGAACGCCGAAGACGTCGTATTACGTAATTCTATCGGAGGGTCTGCCTGCGCGCTGCGTGGTAGTAACGTCGGGGTGATGTACGATCCAACGAAATGTGCATGAAGGACACTGTATCACGGGTCCGATGATATATCCCCTTCAACACAACCTCGAAACTCCTGGCAAGCATACAGAGCACGGCCCTCCTCGGCTTCTGACTGCTACACAACCACTGTCGCTCGATTACACACATCGTCGATCTGCCTAGAGGCTCCTCAAGTTAGCCGGCGTTACACACGCGTCTGTGATATTCCGTGTGCGGCTGAACAAGTCTGACGTCTGACTATTGCACGCATGATATCTAGCGCGCATAAAATGCCGTTATGTAAATTCGCGAGCGTGCACGCGGACGCATGGCAGAAGTTACGAAACGTATTCTCACGTGTGTTACAATGTCCAAAAATGAGGACGCGGTTATATCCTTATTATACGACAACCTATAGCTGTCGTATTTGCATTAATTTAATTCACATATGAATTTATCCTACAAGTTGCGATTTCGACGTTTTCAACAGCAAGAATTATTGTCGATTATTGAGACACATACTTTGTTAAGAAACTTCGTAACTATATCGCGACAAAATAATATCTTAAATAGAAAAAAACGCACATCACAAAGATGTCTCTCTCATTTATATAAATAAATTAATATCTTGTCGTATAAATATTGCGAAATCGATCTTTAGCAATTTCTATGCAAACCCGCGAACGATAATCGATGATTCAATCTCGTCTTTATTCTTCGTCAGGCAGAAGACAATGGCTATCCGTTTTTCCGACAAATTTTTCCCGCTATACCCTCGTTTCGCCGCTCTTTGGCGTGTCGTCCGACTCGGCGATCGCTACGCGGTAAAAATTTATCGTGGAAAATTGAAGTGCCACGGAATAATTGCTCGATCAGAAGCGATCAAGATACCAGATAGTAAGCCCCAACGATCGAGCCATGCGAAATAACCCGCCCAGATTATTGCCGTTCTGAACCTCTAAAATCGCCGTATGGAAACTTACGAAACTACAACCAATTTATCGATTATATTTCGCCGAAATTTTTATTTTTAGTCCTGACTTTTATTGATCGTTCCAATAAATCAACATTATCCTATTTCAATAAATATTTTGTTGAAGATATTGTACAAAATTAACAAATTCTGATTGCGCATAATTCTCATGATAATTATAAAAATCGTCTAACGCAAAGCGATTTTTAATTATTTTTTTTTATTATTTCAGATAATTCTTAAAAAAATTTTATTTGTGTTAGTCACAAAAAAATAAGAAAAATAAACAATATTTTTGTTCTCCTATATTTCACATTTCACGACGAGAATATTCGAGATAGTAAAAAATAATTCAACAACAAATAAAAACACTCACCGAATATCGTAGACCAGCGGCAATCCTTCCGTCTCAATTAATCTGTTTTAGCTACTGTACTCCTCAATGTTTTCCAATGCTCTAAGCTGCTAGATGACACTCAAAACACTCACTCACAATCGAGCAAATGCTGTAAAATAGACAAAATGTGTATATTAGTATTTTATGTTAGCTTTTTCTATATAATATTTTATTAAATTCTGTTATCCATAAAAATTCAAAGAAATTTTAAAAAATAATTTTAAAAAACTTAATATTAAAACTATCGAGTTTTGCGGACATTTGTTTCGAATGTTATTTTTACACTATATTATTTTTCCAAACTATCTTAAATTTACATTTTACATTTTTACATTTTTCTCAAATAGAGATTTTAATGTTACCATGATAAATAATTTTGTCAAAATAAAAAAGCTTTTACAAAAAATTCTCTATATTAAACTGACTTCTTTTCTATCGCTAAAATGCTGCTGCATTTTTTAAAAATAAATTACCATGATGATGCTTCAACGTCACCCGATGCCCCCTAGGCCTCCTCCTCCTCTCAGTGGTCCTGCTTCTTCATAGCACTCACACTCGCGTTCGCGAAAACACAATTAACGCGATATCATAACGCACTACTCGCGTGCATACCTAAGTACGAACAACGCGCGACACATTAAACGACACTCCAGACGTCGCAAGCGAATCAAACCGAATAGTCCAAAGTGCGACGTTATTCGCGAAATCTATTTACATTTCGGACGATCGCACTTGCGAAAGAACACGACTATAGCTCGAAGCAGAAAGCAAAAAGTAAAAATAAATTCGAAAAAGACAAAATGAAATCAACGCTAATGGGCAACAATTTCTGCGAAAGTTTGCTAACTAGTGTTAACATTGAACAGATTCACTATGAAACCAAAGGTCTGTCTGATAAACATCTAATAGCTGAAGAGCTGTCCCTTTTCCCCTTCCCCAAACCGAAGCTAAAGCCGAGCCATTTATCGGAAGTGCGACCATCTATACGATTCGCTACTATTCGATGATTCGAAATCTCGCGGAATTATTGGCGGCACTCCCGAAATTAAAAACATTCACGACGTGAATTTTATTTATACAACGACGAAACGAAATTACGGCATAAAACTTTATCTGTAAAACACAAAAATATTCTTTAAAAACACCGACTAAAAAATATATATAATCATATATAAATAATAAATTTCAACTTATACATTAATCGCAATCGTATAGAATAACTAATACATGAGACAATTGTCTGTCGTTAAATTCGGTATTGTTGATTCCCATTTGTTCGTAAAATTCTCTCGAAACACGCAAGAAAACGTGAAAACACGACGCAAAGAGATTCAGCTATTAATAAGAGACATGAATTGAGCGACTTCAAATTTGTTATGCGACTTGCCCGACCTCACGTGTTTACGTGGAACAAGACGTACTGTTTACAAACGCCAGACTGGAATGTTTGCTCGCGCCCAACTCCATACATACAAGAATGCAAAAAATTTCTTAGCGCCATGATGACAAATATTGAGATATTTCTGAGAACATTATTTAAAAAATTATAACAAAAGAATGAGCGACACGAGACTTGCTCTGCAAAGTACAAAATTCTCGAGACATGTTATAAATTAAATCGTTTCTATTAGCGTTTAATTGAACAGAATGCAAAGTGTCGCAAATAGGTTAAAGGTTACAAATTACAATCGCAATAAATAAGTATACCAACCATCTATGTCGCTAAATATTCTGGTATTCGTGTGTTCGTGAAATTCTCCCAAAATAAGCAAAACGACACAAAAATAAATCGCGATTTAACTACTTATATTGACAACATTCAACACGAACTAAGCGGCTCCAAATTTGTTATGCAACTTGTCCCATCTCATACGTTTGACGGGACACGAAGCTACTATTTACGAACACTAGATTGGCGAAACGTTTACTCGCATCAAACTTCACACATTCGGGCGATGCAAAAAAATGTTTAGCCATGATGAGATATTCGTGAGAATGACAATATCACTATAAGAATTAGATTATAGCAAAAGCATAGACTCGCGACGTATATATATATTATAAAACGACTTGTTTCTATTAACGGCAACTTGCCGAATGCGCGATGTATCACATATAGATTATAAATTTCAGCTTACCTATAAATTGCGGTCACAGTGGATTATTTAATATAATCACTTGTCGCCTATATGATATTCTTGATATTTACTTGTTTGTAAAATTTTCTTGAAACAAGAAAAAATATTCAAAAAATGCGGAGCGGTCGCAATTTAACTACATACTAACAATTTACGACGCGAACTAAACAACTTCAAATTTGTTACGCAACTCGTCTAACCTCGCACAATTTTATGCACTACGAGAAATACTGTTTACCAACATTAGAATAATGAAACATTTGCTACGTCACACTTGGTGCGTTCGTACGATGTAAAAAATTTTTTAGCGCGGTGACTTGAAATATTCATGAAAACGATAACGTCATTACAAGAAGAAGATTATATCAAAAGCATAAACCCTCTGAAATTTATCTTTAATTACAAAATTCACAAAGCATATGTATTATAAAACCGAAAACGACAGCTTTCATTGACAGCAAATTGCCGGATCACGTAGTGTCACATATAGGTTATAAATGTCAGCTTACCTATAAATTGCAGTTACGGTGGATCACTTAGTATCATGGTGGATCACTAAGATAATCACTTGTCACTAGTTTCATATTTCTAATATTTGTTTGTTCGTAAAATTCTCTTAAAACAGGCAAAAAGATTCAAAAATGTGGAGGAGTCGCGATACACAGTAATAATTTATGACGCGAACTGAACGATTTCAAATTTGTTATGCAATTCATGTAACTTCGCACGGTTTAATGCACTACGAGAAATACTATTTACCAGCGTTAGAATAACAAACATCTGTTCGCATCACACTTGGAGCGTTCGTGCAATGTAGAAAATTTTTTAGCGTGGTGATAGTTTGAGATATTCGTGAAAATGATAATGTCATTACCAAAGCATAAACCATTCCAAATTTGTCTCTGGCTAATTACAAAATTTTCATAACACATGTATTATAAAGCCGAAAACGACAGCTTTCATTGACGGCAAATTGCCGGATCGCGTAATGTCGCATAGGTTATAAATGTTAGCTTACCTATATATTGCGGTCACAGTGGATCATTTAATATACCAAAATAATTGCCTGCCGCCAGTTTCATATTTTTGATATTTATTTGTTTATAAAATTCTACTAAAACAAGCGAAAAAATTCGAAAATGCGAAGGAATCGCAATACGCAATAACAATTTACGACGCGAACTGAACGATTTCAAATTTGTTACACAATTCGTGTAACTTGGCACAGTTTAATGCACTACGAGAAATACTGTTTACCAACGTTAGAATAACAAACATCTGTTCGCGTCACATTTGGTGCGTTCGTACAGATGTAAAAAATTTTTTAACAGCGATAGCTTGAAATATTCGTGAAAATGATAATGTCAGTACAAAGATAAGATTATGCCAAAAGCATAAATCATTCGAAATTTATCTCTGGCTAATTACAAGATTTTCATAGCACATGTATTATAAAGTCGAAAACAACAGTTTTCATTTACGGCAAATTGCTGGATCGCGTAGTGTCACATAGATTATAAATGTCAGCTTACCTATATATTGCAATCACAGTGGATCACTTAATATATACTAAGATAATCGCTTGTCACTAATTTCATACTCCTGATATTTGCTTGTTCATAAAATTCTCTTAAAACAAGCAAAAATATTCGAAAATGGGGAAGGGTCGTAAATTAACTATATAATAAGAATTTACGGCACGAACTGAGCGAACTGAACGACTTCAAATTTGTTATGCGACTCGCCTGACCTCGCACGACTTTATGCGCTACGAGAAATACTGTTTGCCAACGTTAGAACGACAAAACATTTGCTCGCATCACACTTGGTGCATTTGTGCAGTGTAAAAAATTTTTTAGTGCGGCGATGGCTTGAGATATTCGTGAAAATTCGTGAGTATTATTATAAGAATTAGATTATAACAAAAGCATATAACCACTTGAAATTTGTTTCTGTTGAATTACAAAATTCATGATGTTTATGTATTATAAAACTGATTATTTTTAACAGTAAATTGGCGGATCGCGAAGCGTCACTTTTAGGTTAGAAAATCAGTTTATCTATAAATTACAGTAAATTAATTAAGATACCAAGATAATTGCCTGTCGTCAATTCGATATTCTGGTTATTCGAAATCTTACATCTTATCGAGATATTAGTAAAATGAAGGTTATTGAAAATAATAGCTTAAAATGGATTGCATCAAATTGTGTATTGAATTTTGACGATTGTTTTGGTGATCCACTCTACGACTATAATTTACACATAAATTAAACATATTTATAATGTGTTTATGCATTCAACTATTATTTAAGAATCGCATGATAGTATAATAAATAAAAGTAATTTTTAATCTATAAATATAAAAAAGTTTAAAAAATATTTCTTATTTGTTCAATTTGCGTATGAATTGTAAATTGTGATAAAATAAGACACATGCATATAAGTTTCTTAAATAATACTTATTTTTATTACCGGTTATTCAAGATTATCAGAAAATTACATATCAATTCCATTGTTTCTTTAATGAACAAAATGTTTTGTTGCTCATCGATATTTTCATGTTAATCGACTTATTTTATTTTAAATTATAAAACTGTTAAATTTTAGAATCTCGCAAAATTTTAATATGGTTTTAGAAACGTAAGTCATAATTAATAAGAGTTAAAAGCTTTACTATAAATTATTCTTATCGATTATTAAAACATATAATAAATATCGCGATAAAGATGACCCAATACATCGTGATAGAAAATGTTTATGTTACGCGACCATAGTCGGATATATATAAAAATTGTTATAATAAAATATTTCTTATATTTTTCTTTCTTTTATTTTCTTTTTCGATTTCTTCAGAAAATTACTCTTCTTATTATTCTTCAGAAAATTGTATTTTTCGTAAAAAAATTAATATAATCAAAAGTTTTATTTATCTGTTGAGCTGTGACATTCCTTGAAATCAGCAAATCAACTTTTGTACAAATATTTCACGGTAATGTCACCAAGAACGTCCGAGCAGACGCCAGTGACCATGTCGCCAACGATAAACGCCGTAGCACAAAGTCGTTTTGACGCACGCGATCGCGAAGTTTCCATTATGATATTTCCATGCGGCTCGTACAGGCTTGTCGGGACGAGCAATTTTCGTGCCTACGAGCCGCTACGTCAATCAGTCGCCTTTACGAGCACAAGTTATTCGGTTCATGGAAAAGAAACATTAATGTCGTGCTCTTTGAGCTTGCCTTCGACCGGAGCGATTGGCAATCTGACGATTTTTCTGACTACAGATCGTTGCGTCTTTATTGCTTCTGATTGCATAATGACGTAATAGAGGTCGCACGAAATTTGAACGTTGTGATTCTACATGGGACGCAAATTTCAAATCGATCATCGATGCAATATCTGGTCCACTATGTAATACGATGTAATTCGTGCAATCTCGTGCAGAATATTGTAACGGCGTTACGCGTTTTAGTGAGATTTATTTTTATGCAAATGTTGAAGTTTTTTCTCCTTTATGCTTAATTACATTTCTGAAAAAAATTTGATAAAAACTTTGAAAACAATTTACATAAATTTTACTCTTTTAATAAGTACATTTGAATGTCCAACACAAATTTTCAGAGATTTTCACGTTTTAAAAAAGATCGGAGAGAGAAAAAAACAATTATTGCTCTCAATTGTCGAACTTAAACGTAGTCCCCACTTTGAAATCGAGAAATAGAATCGGGCCGATGTCTTAGGAACAAGCTATCAGTATCAACGCGGTGATAGCGAACAATGGGACGAGAGAAAAGGAGGTTGAGTGATCATTCGACATAAGTTAGAAACGATTTCGTCGCGGCAGATTTCGCTCTTGACATAGTTAGTCGCGGGGCAAGCCTGACAAATGTTTAGTCACCCCTTTACGAGGAGACGTGGAAATGCGACGTGCGAGTGCTGTAAGTAAGAATAAGTGAAGCCAGCCAAGTCGAGCGCACGCTGGCCGCGTTCTCTCGAATCCTTCCAAACAATACGACGACGCGGAACGCGGAGTAGCGTTGGCGTATGTAAAATTCGCTGCCACCTCCCTGCTCGCAACGCATTACAGCCAGGTCGAACTAGGTCGTTCTCTGTGTTCACCTAAGCGGCTGTCATTTTTTAGTAGATGCGGAGGTAGACGTACGTAATGACGCGGAGACGTCGAGAGTCGAGGCAAAGAAAGAAATGCGACATAGAATATAGTTGTGCAATGCAGAATGCAGGAACAATTTTTAAGCATTACAAATAAATGTTTATAATATGACAAACATTAATAATATTACGTGAAATTGTACGCTTCGAGTTAACGCGACTGCCGTCTGGCGAAACAATCTATTTTCTAATATGCTTTTTGCATACTTTGCAGCATTCGGTCGATCGATGTGTGTTTTGAGTGCCATCCAGCATCCGGAGCAAGGTGCATTGAAGGATTGAGAGATCGTTGGAACAAATTAATCGAAGCAGTGGATTGCTATTTCAAGTAACGGTAAGTGGTTGTGTAAAAGTTAAATATTTCCATGTAGGTAGTTATGCATAGGCATTTCCGGTGCACTTTGCAAAGCGTTTCTCCTCTGTATTTGTCAAAAGCGACGAATGTCGTACGGAAATTTGTAGCTGCTACTCGAAATCAGGTGAAGCAGGCATCCGTGTGATTCGGGAGTAGAGATTTTATTGGATTCCGTCCTATCTACTTTTATTGGTTCTCTATGAAACGATCACGACATCCCCTTTGAGAACCAAGGTATACATAGTCGCGCATAAATATACATATGAGATGCGAGTATATAAATGTATCGAGCCCTATCTGACTTCCTGTCGATCTTAAACGCTAGGACGGTCCGGTTTATCGAACTGTTTAATTCGGCAACAGAAAGAGGAACTTTGACATGTCTTTCGCGAGCAGGCTGAAAAGTCACTCTCATGCAAAACACGATAATCTAAAGAGATAAATGACGAAAAGCTCTCGTGTCTCCATAAAGAAAATATGTCATGCGTGAAATATAAAAAACGTTGGTATGCCAAAATAATGATTAAACTACATATACTTGGCATGAGAACTCGTGTCTTATGATTATATAATTGCATATATATATATAATAATTAAATTATTAATGCACTCTCTCTTCCTCTCTCTCTCTCTCTCTCTCTCTCTCTCTCTCTCTCTCTCTCTCTCTCTCTCTTTCTCTCTCTCTTTCTCTCTCTGAGTGAGAAGCAACAATTAATTTTTTATTATAATTTAAAAATACTTTTTAAATGTGTAATAAAAATAATTAGCATTGCTAACATTTTTCTTCCTGAGAAGTGAATTAGTATATTAAATACTCAATCAAACAATTAATTAGCTTCTAATAAAGACTAACGATTAACATAAGTGTATCACTTATGCATGTGGTATTCTAGTGGCTAATTTCACGCTGGTTGAGCAAATTCTTTTTGAAAAACAGAAGCGCCCACCGATCGATCGTGTTAACGACGAACAAAACTACGAAACTGTAAGCCGGTTCCTCGATAACACGTGGCGAAATGCAATGCTATTAAACTTTACCGGGATGTCCAGAACTCGAAGCCGGCTGTCTAAGAAGAAGAACATACAAAAGGGAAGTGGGCGAGAGGAGGCGGTCGTTTGCGAGGAAATGATGTTATTAGCAGGATAAAACATTCTCCTCTAAAGTTTATTTGTATAAAGTTATAATTGTACTTAGGGGCGCAGTTTGCCGACGTTATTGTAACGAGCGTAGTCAAGGATTTTAGGAAATAATCGGAGGATCGTATCGGAGGATCGATTTCCGCCGAAAAAACTGAACAATTTTTTTTTTCATGCACGTCATGCGAAAAATATGCGAGGAACATGTTGCTACATTGTGCACAGCATTCTTTGTTTACGCGTGTCGCTGCATTGCATACCGTTCGGGGATAAACGATCTTTTACATTTATCTCGCGTAAAACAACGCTCACATCGAGGAAGGAATTAATTTAACACGTTTTGCCTTGCCGCGACGAGCTGTTGTTACAAAGTCACAGCTCACACCCGAGTAATAAATATTATATTGGCACTTCTTACTCACTTTTTCACGGATATTGCATAAATTTAATGAAAAAAAAGAAAGAAAAAAAGAGCTCCATATCTCCAATGTAACCACTTTCGAGGCAGGGAGAGGCGTTTCTGTCCGCGAATTGAGCAGCTACCGATAAAAGGGGAAAAAAAATGCGGCCGGCCTGCGGTCGATGGGCAAGATACAAGGCAATATCGATTGAATATTAGGATCTGCAGGGCATGCGGAACCGGCGCGCACACATTAGCCTCTTTGACTTGCTAAATAGGTTAATTTGAATGTTTAAATTCCGGCTCCGCGCAACTCAATTTGCGAGAGGACTCCGCGTCTGGTTAATTCCTTTCCTTCGTCCCGCGAGCCACTTCTCCTCTCCTCTTCTCGCATCAGCCACCGTCGAAGCCATCCTGAAGCTGGACTGTTAACTTCCTGCGCATATCAAGTGTCCGATATACGGAAACATCCGACAGTACTTCTTTTTCTCTCCCTCAAGCCTACGACGTGGCTACTCACGTTGCATAATTGGCGAGTATCATTTGCGTTTCGCTATGCCTGATCTTTTACGCATCGCAACTTTTCGACATCTAGCCTCTCTCCAAATACAACAAGAGAAAGTCGGAGTGTAAATAGAGATTCGAATTGCATTCGTCGCTTAACATAATTTATGAACAGCACACCGACAGAATTAAGAAGATGACGGTGGAAATCACACACATGATATAAACACACATTCTCAAATTTATAAAAAATTTTATTTGAAACAATACAAATAGACTAATATACTTATAATATACTTCGATATTATAATATACTTATAATATCGAAAAAATCATAAAATTGTATTAAAGTCACATCAATTTTACAATGAAATTCATTGATCTGGAATAATTATTGTATTACATATACTTTTTTTTTATAATCAATAGATGCGAGATCGTGTCTCTTGATTATATTATTGTTTGTGTAATTATTAAATTATATTAACACGCTGAAGTCAAAGGTAATTATTTAAGATTTTATTAGTTATGAAAGATACTAAACATAAATAAATTAATATATTAAATGTTAAATTAAATAATTTGCAATTTTTGCAATTTATTCCCAATACAAGTATCTGTTTTCTTGCTTGCTCTCTATTATACCAAACCTATCCTACCAATTAGTCTGTTAAAGAAAGACTTGTTCTAACATTTAACGCTAGGCTGCGCAAGTTTTCTAAAATTTCTCGTATTACAAATTTAAGTTTAAGGATATAAGAAAGCTCGTACGGTGAGGCTAGTTATGACCGAGCGTTTAGATGCCGTGATCAAGAAGGCGGTTTCTTCAGGGTGAAGTCTGATCATTGCACTTCGATTGGGCTGCTGACCCCTGCGAATATCCCTAACGTGGATATCTCGAACGACCAATTTTTGATAGTAGGGACAGCGTTTGCGCTGTCCCGAATAATATCTCACAAAAATAAAATATTACAATTGTGATAAATAAATTACTTATTTGAAACAATCTATAACTGCGAACAGCATTCTACTTATAATTTTTGTATGCCATGTGTTCTGATATATATGTGTGTGTATTCTGATTCTTAAAATATTTTTCATATTACATGGGAGAGATAAAAGAATAAATGGACTTCTCTCTTAATTACCTAGTACGTAACTTTTAGTTAATAACATTCTGTTCGTATATAATACGATAATTATTCCACATCAATAAATTTTAATGTAAAATTTGTGACTTCAATATAATTTTATGATCTTTTCGATATTATATTGTAAGTTAGTCTACAGCTAAATTGAGAACATAAATTAGATTTTGAACCAATTAGAATCATTAAAAGTATAAAGATTAATCTTTTGCTAAATCATCTATGAATGTATCTCTATGAAATCCTGAAGATATTTTAAATACTATTATTACATAATTCTATAATCTTAAACGCCAGTATCTTAAAGTATGTACACTCAAAAAAATGATCTTGCAATAATAGCTAAAATTTTCTAGGTGTAAAAAATTAACTAAAACAGATAAATGATTAGCAACTGTTGTGATATTGCATATGTAATTACTTAATCAGTTTAGATGACAGAAACAGAATATATCTGTATTGTTTGTGAACTTTAAAAAGAAAGTTTCTCTAAAGCGCCTATCTATATAAGATCAATCACGTGTTAGATCATGCAATGAATAACATTTAGCAATGGTACCTAAATTTTTTAGAAGCTATTGCTAGAACATTACTGCTATAAATTCTATATGTATTTCTATATGACAAACAATGTTTTCACAGATACGAAAAATAGCGATACATTCTTGTTGCGATATCTAAAAATCTAACTACATCAGCGAAATATTTTTTTGAGTGTAGCAGAAATTTTTAATTGAGGGGGCCTTATAGATCTGTCTTCATCCGGAAATTTATTCTATTATACTTGGAATGTATTTTAAATTTGCACTTTCTCTTGATTAAAAAAAAATTAATCTTTTAATTAAAAATAAAATACAAATATTTATTAAATAGTATATTTATTTGAAAATATATTAGTTTTTTATTTAAGAGAGAGAGAGAGAGAGAGAGTCCATTTTGAGTTATCTATAATTTACTGTCCTATACTAAAATTTGAATAAATATCCTACTTACAAATTTATTTATGCATGTAATATAAAAAACATTTAAAGTATGAGAAAATATGCGCAGTATTTTAATATACGCATTCAATAATATATTTAATATATGTACTCAAAAATAATGTAAAAGAATTGTAAAATATTAATTTGTGAATATCATCTAAGATAGCATAAACGTAGTTTCAACTGCCAAAAATTACATGTTCAAAATATTCACATTAGGAATATAATATAAAAAATATTTTAAGAATCAGAATATACACATATATCAAATACATGGCATGCAAAAATTATAAGTAGAATTCTGCTCGCAATTATAGATTGTTTCAAATAAGTAATTTATTTATCACAATTGTAATATTTTAAATTTAAAAATCAAAGATCAAAGGAGTAAACGCTAGATGTACGTGCGAAAACATATATTATACGAAAAACTTACATAAATGAACACACTGAAGAAGGCCTAATGAAGGCAGCGACGTCTGTGTTTATTTACCTTTGCTCTTTGATTTTTAAATTTGATATTATCATCGAAGTCCTGAATACAATTTAATGTAATATTTTATTTTTGTGAAATATTATTCGGGACAGCGCAAACGCAGTCCCTACTATCAAAAATTACACGCTTGAATATCTACATTAGAGACATTCGCAGGGGTCAGCCCAATCGAAGTGCAATGACCAGGCTTCACCCCAGAGGAACCGCCTTCTTGATCACGGTTAACCCCAGCATAAGGTAAGTGTGCTCATCGTTCATGCTTGAGCTTTCTTATGTCCTCAAACTTAAATCTTAAATAGGAGAAACTTTAGGAAACTTGCGCAGCCTAATGTAAAATGTTAGAATTAGTCTTTAGAATCTGTCTTTAAGAATTTTAAAGAGACAAATCTATAGGCTACTATAGAAATGGTAAGTAATAAATAACAGGTTTGGTAGGTTTGGTATGAAAAGAAGCAAGTAAGCAAGCAGACAGCTGCATCAAAACTAGATTGCGGGATTGCACATTAGTTGATAGAATATTTAATAGATTAATTTTTTATCACGTTTAGTATTGTTTAAAATTATAATGTAAAATAATAATAAAATTTAAAATATAATAATTTTTTATTTTAAATTAATAATTTATAATAATATATTTATAATAATATATAATATATAATTTATAATAATATATAAAACTTAATAATTATGTGAAATTGATAATAATTCAGAGGTACGATCTCACCAATATAGTGTAATAATGGTTTCAGATCAAAAAACTTTTTTCGAAAAAATGATGAAGATCTGAAAATAATTTTTAAATCTTTTCGACGTTATAAATTTAGATCTAAATTGAGTTTTTGTCAAAAATTAAAAAATATAAAAATTAAGCTTTCGTCGGATCACGCGTATATATCATGAAAATATTTGAAATATTATCACTGTATATAATTATATGACTTTACATGTCAGTAGTGAAATGTGTAGCAAAAATTCAGCACAGTTAAGAAGATCACATATCTCTCTCACCACGGTAAAAAATCAATTATTTATTCTATTATATTTTGAACATATCTTTTCTCGATTAAAAGAGAAATAATCCTTTGATCAAGAATTAAGATCTTTATCTTAAGCAGAATACATCTATTCAAAGAAATATATATTAATTATTTAAGCCTACTTTAAACTATCTATAATTTTCTTTCTAACTGCTTCGAAATAAAACTTTGAATAAATATTCTATTTACAGTTTCACAATGCTGAAAATCTATAAAGTATGGAAAAATGTGTCAGGTATTCTGATGTACACTCGATATTAAATATGCCGAGGTCGCAACAAAATTGTAAAAATAAAATTATATTCGAGATATAAAAATTATCGAAAACTGCTTCCAGTTTTAACCGTAACCTATTATTTTTAGAAAAGTATTATTGAGGGATAGCGCGAACGCAGTCCCTACTAACAAAAATTATGCGTTCGAGATATCCACATTAGAGATATTCGCAGAAGTCAGCTCAGTCGTAAGTGCAATGACAAAGCCTCATCCTGGAGCAACCGCCTTTATGATCACGGTAGCCTCTACGCCAGGTAAGTATGCGTTCCTCTGTCTCTTCACAATATTTCAAGCTTTCAAGTCAAAAGTTGACTACAAGAAAGGAGAACACTTGCTGCGCACTATAGCGGCTATTTCAGAAACTATATTTGGCAGTCACGAATTATCTATATATTACATGCAAAAGAAACCATTAAGTTAGCAAATAATAAAACAGTTAGAATATATATATATATATTTTATATATTAATATACACAATTTAAATTTACAAAAATGTATTACTTTTATAATAACTATTCAAACTTCTTGATTAATTTTCGTAAGCACATAGTAATCTTCAGCACACTCCATCTTTCAATTTATAATAATCTGTGTAAAAATTATAAACGTTAATTATAACTTCAACACTTTTCGTTTGGTAATAGCAAATTGCAATAATATTCTAATTATAGTCATTAATTAAATATTATAACTATTTTTATTTGCAATAAAAATATACTAAATCTATTTTTATTAAATTATAATTTTTCAAACATTATACATGTGTAAAAAATATATTGCAAAAATTGATTTATCAAATACTTACTCGGCCTATATGCAACTATGACATACTTTTTTAAGTCATTCTGCTGAACAGGCATCATTCGATATTTTGTGCAATGATTGTAACATAACATGTAACAAATGCTTGGGAACGTACGATCATTAAAATCACGACTTCTGGCACAAATTGTTCGATTGCCATCTTTATCGCTGTCCTCCTCGTACATATCCGCCTGAGTAGTCGTCTCCTCCCCCAAGGCAATTACTTTTTCCTCATCACAGTACTCGCAATTACAAGCGATTGCATCCGCGAGGCACGGACCAAAAATAGACACTGTATATGCAATAATTATGAGATCATTAGAATATACAGAAAACAACACATTTTTTTATAAGAACACTACAAACATTACGTTACTATAGTTCAATTATTCTTATATTCATGAATTATACTTGTGTAACTAAGAGCGTTAATGCAAGTATTAAAAGATTGATAAAAATATTCCACTTATCATTTTATGCTCCAAAATAAACTACGTACATAGTGCAATTATGATGAATAATGATCGCATGTTTAAAAATATTGAATTATTATATTTAGAAATGAGATATATATAAGATGTAGTATGTAGAATGTCTGTCAAGTTGCAAAGTATGATGAAAACTGAAACTCGCTCACACTGTACGATGACGTTCGTTTGGCACGCAGTGCTGTAATGAAAAACTTGTTTGACGAGATTATATAATATTGCTAATATAATCGCATACACGCGTGTACGGAAAAGTGGATTTACTTTTATTGTAGAAACTCGTCACATAGCCAATTATTACGCAACAAATCAATACATAATTAATAACGTGTTAAAGCCGAACATGTTTCCTTAATGAAATGCTTGTAGCCTTAACGATTAACTGGGGAACCATTGAATGACGCATACATAACTATCGATATATCGGGAACATCAGCATACTGACCTCTGATCTCAGAACGTAATTCAATACGCCTATGAGCGCATCGCTGTAATGATATATTGTCATGAAAGTAATAATTATTATCGGCTACTTCCGCCGTATTTTAGCGTAACATTGACATAATGCAGTCCATTGTATAACTAATTAGAGAATCATATGTATATTATTTTCATTATAAGCACATTTTCTCACTTTAACATATTATGCAATGTGGAGAGTAATCTTTCATTGCGATAAAAGCTTTTAAAGAATTAAAGAAGTTGTGTTAATGCACATTGCTAACATTAAGGAGTATATTTAAAACGGGTTCGCATAATAAAACGTTTCATTGTTATTCGCGAGTTTTTCGCAAATTCCTTCAAATGCATTTTTTTTTGTTTTTTTTTCTTTTTTTTAATATAAACGGTCTCTTTGAAAGGTGCCGGCTGTCGTCGTTACTTTCACAGGGCTCTCACGTTATCGCTTTTATGTTAATTACCCGCGGGAAGTAATGCGCAGAGTAATACCAGCGCAAACCGAATGAGACAGGTGGTTCTAAGCTCTTTTCTTCTAGCACTCGAAAAAGGAAGAATAATAAATATTAAAGCTCCCCACATTTCCGCGATATAATGGCTAAATCGTTGCGTGACATTTAGCTATGTCTGAATTTACTCCGCAGAACTCTACGTAGAGGAAGACGCTTAGGATTCATTCAAAAATATAAACATGAAAATAACGCATAGTTTTGTTCGTAACGCTTATTTTATCTTCGCAGTATTACTGCTGACGATATTTTCGGTGATAATTGAAAAACTCTTGGAATGAATATAATTCCACTAATTGAGAGAGACAACCAGGCAAACGTTTACACAATGCTAGATCTGTATGTACTTGTGTAATAATCTTTTAAGTACAAGCATATACCACTTGGGATACCGGCTTGCTGACATCTTAAATCTCGAAAGTTTATTGCCATGACAATAACCGTCAGCCGGCACAGTTAACAATTATATAATGTCCTGACTTATGGACTAATTTGCATTTTAATCCGACCACCTATTGTTGCTCGCCATTGTCGGCGAAATGCGCACATCGTGTGCTCAAGATGGCAAAGTTCGAGTGGTTGAAAGAGAACGAGGTCATCGTCAATTTGTAGAACAATGAACGCGAGAAAATGAGATAAGTGTTATTGGCGCGCGCCGCGTACAATCGCCTAATCAAAAATTAATTGTAAGTGGTTCAGAAATTAATTAGTGAGGGAGACACGTCACCTCGCATCTTCCTTCCCTCCCACTGAGATGAAAAAAAAAAATTAAGTGAATAATCAATTACGTATTCACGTAATTCTCCGATCGCACTTGAGAAGTCTGCGGAATACAAGGCACGAAGCGGAATGAAAAGTGAAGTCGTTGCTTGCGACGAATACCGGTGGAAAACATTCCAATTTGCCAATGACATAGGTCTGTCTTTTTCCCACGGACCCTTTCCATCTCTCACTTACACGGCTCTTGACTCTATTAAAGGCGCATCCTGACCAGATCCATTTGCCAACCCGTCCGCCGGTGTGAGCGGCTCTATCTGCTCGTACTAATTGGTAATCATTCATACCGATACTTCAACTTTAATCTAACGAACGAATGCGACAGCCGATACTTCCTATTGCAAATCCAACTGATCAATTAAATCGATCATCATTGATCACTTCTTCATCAGAGTGAGAAAACATTTCGTAAGATTACTTTGTTAATTTCGTGTAATTTAAATTAACAAAAGTAGTATATATATTTTTTTATGTAACAAACATGTACTTGTCGATTATAGTGTCAATATGAGAGAAAACGTTCAAATAATTATTAGTTTAGAAGCTATTTTGGAAGCGATATTCGCACAGTGCAGAAGCGGCGTGCGACGAAGGGATGGTTGAATGCGACGGGTTGGTTAAAAGTAGGGGACCACGGAAAATTTGTCAATCAGTGCGATCCATCTGGACTTGATTACAGCTCCGCAATCGCGTTCATAGTCCGAGCTTCAAAATCGCTTGACCGAATTTTTGTGCCGTCATTGCGAGAACCGGTTATTCGGGCATCAGTTATAAATACGTGTCGTTTTGCCTCTGCATGCCATGCGAATTCTTTTATTGTTTTATCCGCGCGCTGTTCCTTTAATTGCGTTACCACGTAGTATCTTCTACCAGGGGAAAAAAAAAAATGTGGAGCGCAGAACAAATTCAGACATTCAGGATATTTCAAACTCGATATACATGACGTTCCGTAACTCGGTGGTATACCTAGAAGGGTAATGATTTTACATGAAAAAAATATGTCGAAAATGTAGTATAAAATTTTTCATATAGGGCTTTGTTTTTGGAGAGGAAAAAAAGTTCTGAAAATTGCGAAATTTTTTAATAATGCTTTTTCTCTTCTTTATTGATATTATTTTTGTTCTTCGCAGTCTGCGTAGTTTATTAAATTGAGCGTTAAATGAAAATCGTGTTCCTATTGTGAGACAGCACTGCACACGCACGGATTTGTGTATACGCCTACACATCTCCAACATATTTACTACTACATACGTCAAAAGTGATGCTCTAGCTGTTATTTTTGTCATCCAATCCGTGCTGCCAGCTAGATTCTCCCTTCATTTTGTTGTATTCACGTTTTCATCTGCTGCGTGCTTGTCCAGCACGGCCCAAAGCAGTTGAACCGAGTCGATGTTCAATCAGAACCAATATGTCGTGCTCTCATGCGAATACATACCGCGATTTCT